GTTCCTAACACTTCACATTAGTAACACTTTGCAATGAATAAGCTTGTGATTCTGAAACAATATTTTTCCCAACACAACTCACACAGCGCCATCTAGTCCCAAGCTAAGCAGAGCTTGTGTTATGGTTACTAAATAACTAAAGAGGTGTGTCAAACCGCTAGATCACCGATTGCTGTTATATCAAGAGTCAATATCTATCAAAAACTATACATGTTTTAATTGGTATTTGTTACAACTTTGATTTGCAACTTTACACTGGTCATCCGCACCCCCTTAGGGGGATGAATGTTGGGGTCTCGGGGCGAAACACTTTGCCCCGGCATCAATTCCCGTGTAGCTGGGTTGTAGGCCTCTTAGGGCGGGAATTAACATACCAAGAAATTTAGTCTACTATATAACCTACAACTCTATTTGTAATTGCAACTGTCAAAAGGAACGTATATAATCACAAAAGTTTTAAAGGAGAATTATTAGCAACTATTCTATACACCTGTAACCCTGTATTGAACAGTAAGAACAATGTTAGTCGTAAAGAAGATATAAAGTTGAAATTTAGCCACTTATGAAACTAAACTACTGTAACTAAGAAACGGTGTGGAAATCTGATAATAAATTTAGAACATTTCATATTAATTTGACCAATTAGAAGTGTTTTATACAAAACTGTGTTTTAAAAATTACCTGCAAATATCCTCTCTAGTTCAGATTTTTAAATATGTCTAACTTTTGACTTGATGTATCCTGTACGACTAACAGTGCATAATTAAGCTGCCGTTGTTTTTTTAATTGAACATAAATATTTATTCCTATACCTAATTATTCTATAAACATTTAAATTTCAACAATTCAATATTTTTTACATCTGTATGATTAATTATTATATATCTACTAATTATATTATTACTGACACTGGTCACCCTATAATGGGGTATGATTGCCGTTAAAGTCAGCTGTAATGTTAGAGATTTTGTCAGTTGATATAAAAAAAACCAAAAGAAAGCATACCTTGGTTTTGAAAGAATCTAACTAGTTTCTTAAATTTTCAATTCATTATATGTCGTTAAGTTAAATAAGTTAATAGTTATTCAAATTCAAATATATATTCGACATAATAATCGCCAACTGATTTTAACTGCGTTAGATGTTATTTTTAATGTCAATTGAAAATTATTAAAAATAAATACTATTTTCATTCAACCTTTTTAAACCATATGGAACGTATTTTCTACATACATTTTTACCACAGAGCTATTATTTCCAGAGAAATCGAATGTTTAATTTTTTTTTTATTCAGTACAATCATAACTTAAATTTTCTCAACAACCAACAGTAAAATTCTTACAATATAGCATCGGATTAAGATTTATTTTAAATATTTGCTGTTTATCGATACACGTAGGATATGAAATATGCATTTTCAATGAAAATACAAAAGTATAATGTGAACTAGACAATATTTGTGATGTTATAAATAATAAATAAATAAATAATCATATTCATCATCTATACAAATCTGTTTGCGATACGCATTTCAGATATTAATGGGATATTCTTGTTAAATGCTTTCATTCGACGATTATAAATCATTTGAGTAAACCATCGTTTCTCAAGCGGGGGGTCGCACCCCTGGGGGGGTCGAGTTTCTTCCTGAAGGAGACCGTAGTCAGTTGAAAAATAGGTAACAAAGTACATATAGGTACAAACGTATCGTTTATGGAATGATTGGTTTTAGACTACGGTGGCAAAAAAGCATACGGCAGATCTGATGGTAAATGTTCACCGTAGTCTATAAGACAACTGAAATACCAATATCACGTATTTTAATGTAGAGTTATAATACTAAATATTAAAATGGTTGAGAAACGATGGATTCATCCATCTATGATATTTTTTTCTTTTGTAATGGCTTGGCACTTCGTACTTTTGCCAGTTTTTATTATTTTCCGTTAATTATAGAATAAATTCTACTATTTGTAGCTCCTTATATAAGTTAAATTATAAAATAAACAACAATTTATTAAATTATTCATAGTTAATTTATATAAATGCAAGCAAAGAATGTAGAGGTAAGGTGAACATTTGTCTGAGAATACTAATAGCTCGTAGGCCATAATTTAAAAAGATATTATGTCTATTGGGTGAAAAGACAAATATCAAGAAAGTGTGATGCAAACGAAGTGCGTGGGTCAGCTTGTTATATACATGTTATTTACATTCAGCCCGAGTGGGCAGGGAAGTGAGTACCGAAGTGGGCAGGGAAGTGAGTACGGAAGTGACTGCGCGAGAGTGGAAACACTTCCCATGCCATTGGCGCTGCCACTCGCGCTGCCCGCGCTGTCCGGCGCTCAAAGGACTGGCAGCGCGAGTGGCAGCGTGTTTTTACATTCCGCCCTCTCGCTCAGTTGTCGCCCGGCAATATATCCGGCAGCGCGAGTGGCAGGGGAAGCGGCTGAATGTAAACGTAGCATTAGAAATAATTTTGATATTTTAGCCGCCTATGGACGTCAAGTTATTTGTATTAATTCTATTTCCCTACATGTAGGGAAGTAATAGCAAAGGTAATGAGATTGCCTCTACTTACCTTACCTCTACCCTCCATAGGCATACTTTAAGAATTGGTTACATATATATTTTCTATTTATCTATACATATAAATAAAAATGGAGTGTCTGTTTGTAATATTGAAATAACCGTTTTTTACTACATGCATATGAATATAAATACGGTACATACACCAAAATAACACTTTTTTCAATTTTTGCCCGTCTGTCTGTCTGTTCCGGCTAATCTCTGAAAAGGCTGAACCGATTTGACGGGACTTTTTTTTAGCAGGTAGCTGATGTAATAAGGAGTAACTTAGGCTACTTTTATTTTAATAACGTTAAATTCCACGCAGACAAAGCCGCGGGTACAGGTAGTATAATATATAAAGTTACACACGATTTTAAAACCTACGGACAGCAATACAAACATTAATATTAATAAACGTATTAGAAATTAACATATTAATATCTTATTTAAGAATTACAAAGTACCCCAATAGTCCAATAAATTTTGAATTAAAACATGATGTATAAATAACAGCAGATAATGAAAAAATGAAAAGGATCTGTTTTGTGCAAACGTGAAACATTTTGTCATATTTCTTATCAATTATATTGAAAAAAAAGGGATTTTTCTGCCGTTTTTTTAATTTTTCACCCCTTTTCCGTTAAATTAAATAAAAAAAAATTTGAATATTATTATTCACGTACAATTTTTATTAGAAACATTTTGTCATATTTCTTATCAATTATATTGAAAAAAAAGGGATTTTTCTGCCGTTTTTTTAATAATTTTTCACCCCTTTTCCGTTAAATTAAATAAAAAAAAAATCCGAATATTAATAGTCACGTACTACAACTTTTATTTGAAACATTTTGTAATATTTCTTATCAATTATATTGAAAAAGAGGTTTTTCAGCAGTTTTTTTAAGATTTTCATCTCTTTCCCGTTAAATTAATAAAATATTTTAATAAATTAATTTAATATATTTTTTCTTAACGTTATTATTCTTGTATTTGTGGACTTATTTCTAAATATTGCGCCAAAACTGGTCACATCATGGTTTAAATCAAAATCTTCTTGGACTACAAGTACATGACCATCTTTACTAAACATATCCAACTCAAAAGCCATAATAATACCTTAAATTATAGTTGTTTTTGGTAGAGCTGTCAAATAAAATTTAGTTATACATATATAATGAAATATAAAATAACCGATAAAACAATTTTGTATTGTATGTATCCATACATACAGTTTAATAAGTGAACATGTATTTATCATACAACCTCGATTTTATAATATATATTGCACATATGGATGCACTCCGTCTGTTTGTAACATATAAGGCCTAAACAAAAATATTAAAAAAAAAACGCTAGGCGTAACTTAATTACGTAATAGAAAATAATCACTTCTAGGAATATTAAATTAATGTGTCTAGTTTTATCACAGTTAGAATCTGTGAGGTTTTCATTGTATGGGAACAATTTTTTCTTACATACACATACAATAACTATATTTATTCAACTTTAAAACACCAATATTTAAAATGGATGTGTTGATTTTCATTTCATTTAAGCAATTACTATACAATATTAGTATACTTTAATTTCAGTTCTATTTCCGATAGATTTTCAGTTGAAACCGAAACTCCAGACAAAAATCGACACTATATCTGTGTACGATTAAAAAAAATCACGGGACCTTACCACGTTTTTTATGAGCAAAATATATTTTTATAAATTATAAAAATAATATCATAGTATGAAGAACAAATGTATAAACATTCTCTAATTTAAAAAAATACATCATATTAAATTAAATATAGTAAAGCAATATTAATTTTTATCATTAGGTACATAGTATAAACTAAAGTCGCTGTCGCTGTCTGTCCGTCCCTATGTATGCTTAAATCTTTGAAACTACGCAACGGATTTTGAAGTGTTTTTTTAATAGAGTGATTCTAGAGGAAGGTTTATATATATAATACATGTACACCCGTCCGAAGCCGGGCGAGTAGCTAGTAAATTACTTAATACGGACATTCCCCATTTAAAACAAAAGGAATATTATTAAATTAAATATACTAAAATCCCGTGATTTTTCCTTAATATACGTATAAATATTGACCGCGTCAAATTTAAAACACTGGTCACAAAATATAGACTTATTCTAAAAAAAATCACACATTATTGATTGAGAGTACCAAATATTTTCACATGAAAACCTCTAGCAGATATTTATGATAAACATCTTAAATTCATAACGCGTCACCATCACTGCTCCACGAGACATCATCATCATACAAGTCTCATCACCAGGCAATCATCATACAAGTCATCAACGCGCTCGTGAGAGGCTTCACTTTAATAGTCTCTGCTCTATTCGTACAACGCTTCATTGACTGTAGGTTAAATAAGAATAGAGCCCAAAATAAATTTACATTTACAAAAATCAACGCAAAAATAAATAGGATATAAACGTCACGCGGGTAGAACTGCGAGGCACAGCTAGTAATATCATGAACGTAAAAGTTTCTGAGTATGGATGGATGTTTGTTACTCTTTCACGCAAAAACTACTCAACGGATTTTAATGAAACTTTACAGTAATATAGCTTATACATCAGAATAGTATATGGACTATAAATTTCACGCGTGCTAAATCTCGGGCACAGCTAGCATATATACATATGTTTGTGTAATTTTCTAAGTGAACATATTGGGAAACTTTAAAGTTAGCTTAGCTTTAATAACAATAAATAAATAAAGATAAAATTAAGTACCAAATAAGTCGAAGCGACTGGAGCTGACGAATCTCAACATTTAACTTGAGCCACATGGAGCAGTGATAGTGTTAAATTGGAAATTAATTAATCTAACCGGTCCCTCTATATTCAGAGATCCTCCCGGGACTCCTCAGCCTCCCGCTGGGCACGTTCCAGCGAGGGCTTTATGGTCTCCAATAAGTTTTTCAGCGCTTGCTCCGTCTGAAACGTCAAAATATTAATTATTACATTAATACGTGAGGCAAAAACTTTGAATCCATTTTTATGAAAATTTTGAAGATAGTGATTAGTGGTGTATGAAGTTATAGTATGTTTATATGGAGGAGTGCCGATTGCTAATGTTTTTTTTTAAATGATGCTGAAAAATATATAAAATAAAATAAAACTCTTTTGTTTATTATTAGTCTGTGGTCCAATTGAGAACTGATTAATCTAGTGTACTTATAATATTATTTGTCTATAATCTTACTAAATGTTAAACTCATTACGGTCAAACTTAGATCTTTGGGCGACCACTAAATATAATATTACCACATCAAAGGGAGAATACTAAAAAGTAATCTTATATATAAAATGCTCGTGTCACAGTTTTCGTTCCCATACTCCTCCGGTTGACCGATTCTCATGAAATTTTGTGAGCGTATTGAGTAGGTCTGAGAATCGGCCAACATCTATTTTTCATCCCCCATGTTAGAGGTAGTCCACCCCTAATTTTTTTTTTATTTTAAGGCAAAACAACGTTTTCCGGGACAGCTAGTAGATAAATAATAATAACCCCAGACAGTTCAAAATGAGATGGTGGACGGGCCAGTACCGTGCGGCCAGCTGCGACCGACGGTATTAAAGTTCGGAGAAAAGAATGAGATGGTGAACGGTGAAAGATGGTGACCTGCGCGAGATGCGTGACGGTGCGATGCAGCGCGTCCCTCCAGGCGAGCAGCTGCGAGCGCTGCCGCCGCGTGTGCTGCTGCAGCACTCGGGACCACTCCGACATCTGCGACCCGCTCGCCACGCTCATCCTGCACCACACACACCATCTCCTATCATTACATCACACCAAATACTGCTCCATAGTATAACATACAAGTAGAAATAATCTTTATTGAAATAAAATATCCATAAGTCGCTGGTTCATCCGGCTCGAAGGACCAAAAGAATGTGCGGTTATTAATTTAATTTAATAAAATGTTAATTATAATAAAAGAATGATAATGATAGTAATTCCTTATCATTATAATTATCTTTTTTAGCGTTGTGTCTTTGAGCTTCGTTAGCAGACTCGACGTATGATGAGGTCTGACTAGTTCCTCCACATCGGCAAAGCGCATGTTACACGTGACGTGTCTTCGTGTTTCAGGCGTCTTTACGCTACGGTGAACGTTTACCATCAGATGCGCCGTATGCTTGTTTCCCACCATTGCAGTATAAAAAAAGGTCGAAACAAACAATCTTACTCGCACAAACATTTGCACCGATACCTCGAATAGAACCCGCAACCATCGAAAGTAAAACACCTTGGCAATCCACTAAACAATCGAGGCTATAGACGTCATACCTGTCCTGCAGGAGGTCGAAGTCGAGCGTGGGTGTCGAGTGGTAATAGAGTCTCCAGTACAGCAGCGCGTTGATGGCCAGCAGTACGACGAGCGCAGCCGCCAGCCACCCCCCTGTTCCCCCCCAACCCCCGGCCCGCCCCCCCGCGGCTCGCTCCCGGGGAGCGGGGGAGGGAAACGCGGGCCCCAGGGCCGGAGCGGGCAGAGCCCCCACAGCGACCACCGGCGCAGCAGCGCCCTCCTGAGATACTGCAACGTAAAATGTTTGTGAGATAGTGGTAAGAAACCCGCCCCAAAAAGCTGTCAACCCGGGGGTTGTTGCTGGGTCAAAGGGGCCCCGAGGCCCCAATCTTTACCCCCCTAGGAAAAGCAGTGTTATGTTATGCCAGTAGTAATGTATAGGTAGTAAATAAATTAATAATTAATATAAATAAGTCGGAAAGGGTATATGTAGTCGCAGTGATAAAAAAATACCAATGGTAACAAACAACTTTTGTTCTACAACTTTCCCTGAAATCATGTGGCGGCATATCATTTTGACGGCCTCGGTGGTCTAGCAGTTTAACACACCGCCTCACTTCCGATTCGCGGGTTCGATTCCTCAGACGTCTGGTCTGGTCTGGGTGTTTTCTATGAGTAATATGTATATATTTACGAAAAAATATATATCTATGTATTTGTATCAGTTATCTAGTACCCATAACACCAGCTTTAGCTAGGTTAACTTTGGCCTAGATGGCGCTGTGTGAATTGTCCTGAGATTATTATTATTATATGATGTTTATGAGAAAATTACAATAACAAAAATGGACACAGCCCTAACATCTGCTGGAGGAGGGGAATGGGATTGTAAATGTTAGCAATGTGGACTAATAACCTCATTGTTAGTAATGTACCATATCAGATAGACCTCCATGCGGTTCCCCCTGGAAACCATTGTGATAAATTCACTTGGAATTTATCACGATGGGCCAACTGAGCTGAGATCATGCTCATATTATCACCCTCCACTCGTGCCCCGACAGCGTAATCCGTTAGCGCTGGCGGGTGTACCATACCATTATCATCCATTAAAAAAAATCTGCTGGTGTTATACCTTTCATAACAGGAAAATGTGTACATCACTATCATTACATAGTATAAAACAAAGTCGCTGTCGCTGTCTGTCCGTCCCTATGTATGCTTAAATCTTTAAAACTACGCAACGGATTTTGGAGCGGTTCTTTTAATAGATAGAGTGATTCAAGAGGAAGGTTTATATATATAATACATCATCATGTACATCCGTGCGATGCCGGGGGGAGTAGATATTTGTTACTATTTCACGCAAAAACTACTGAACAGATTTTAATGAAACTTTATAGTAACATAGATTATAAATCAGAATAACATATAGGCTATAATTTAAAAATAGATATTATGTAAATTGGGCGATATATAAGTCAGCTAGTCTAATGATGATACTGACTTAACGAGCGTCGTGAGGGGCGCGCCTTGCGTGTGAGTGGGGCTGCGCCCTCGGCCTCTGCCGTCAGGCGCGTCTCCAGCAACCGGAAGTAGTCATCCAGACCTGATATAGCATTCTTCTCTATGAAACCTGCAATGAAATAATGTCTTGGGGTTAATAGAATAGAATACAAAACTATTTATTTAAATTAACTTACATTTAATCACTTCTGTATAATCATAATTATTTTTTAATCTATGGTTCATTAGGAAAGCACTTTCATCGCACGCAGAACGAGCAAAAAACTTGTTGCTCTTATAAATTTCAGTTGAAATGTGTGAATACAAACTGCCATCTAGCACTAATTCACTAATTAAAATATTAAGTACTAGAGGTGTCCGCGACTTCGTCCGCGTAAATTGTCGATACTTCCATATAACCTTTCATCTCCTTTCAACCCTTTACAACCCTTTTTTCGGATTAAAAAGTAGCCTATGTCCTTTCTCAGGTTCTAGACTATCTGTGCGAATTTCAAGTAGTCCAAATTTAATTTAAATCGGTTCAGTAGTTTTGGCGTGAAAGCGAGACAGACAGACAGAGTTACTTTCGCAGCGGTCTATCACTTCGCTTTAAGTTCGATGGTCGCGGGTTCGATTCCTCGCACGGCACAAACATTTGTATTCATGAGTATGATTGTTTGTATCGGTCTGGGTGTTTTCTATGTATAATATGTATGTATTTACGAAAAAAAAATTATCTATGTATTTGTATCAGTTATCTAGTACCCATAACACAAGCTTTTTCTAGCTTAACTTGGGTCTAGATGGCGCTGTGTGAATGGTCTTGAGATTATTATTATTGTTTATGAAATACGACAAACACGAAGGTCATTTGTTTTACACAATGTCTTTGTTTTAGTAATTGTCAATGTCAATTAATAAAAAATAATTTTGATACATCAATCCTAGATTGATACCTATGTTTTATTAATTTTGATAAAGACATAATAATTAAGAATTAAATAAGCACCCACTAATTGTTTCTGAATAACCTATAAAAATGGGCAAATATTATTAATATCCGATAGTCCCACATCCTTATTTTAAAACTGCAAAAGCTGGCAACATAGGTATTGTCAAATTCTCTGGGATTAAAAATCAGACTGTAAATATTACTTTAAATATAATTTAAGGAACGTCTCGGCAGTCGTCAGTGCGGCCGTGTACGCAGAAGTTCCTCTGAAGACTCCGACCTCTGAAGTCTGAGACCACTTAGGATTCCAGCGTGTTTGGATAAATTCCCTGTTGAAGAGAGTTACCTTTGACCATGGGCCACATGGACTTCTTATAGCGCAGGTTCCCATAAACACTGAGTCGGGTGGACCGTCGACCGGTCCTCTGCAGGCAGTAGTGAACGTTCACAGTGAAATAGTCTGCATACGGGATACCGGCATTCTCGCTCTCCGCGTCGATCGAGTACAGGACACCCGGCTTCGAGCACTTGTTCATCACCTGTTGATCATCATCATCTATTGAAATTACTAGTTATGATGATATCACGCCGGCTACGTGGATCAGGGAGGTAAACCCAAAGTAGCGCCCGTGACTTGTGACATAGGTGTAGGTTCAAAGAGCCCTTTTAGAATGCATTAACACTCACCTTCACTACTCGTGGTATCCTCCCATTCCGAACTAATAAACTCCCCAATGCCTACAAGCAAGAGAAATGGGAACTTTCTTGGCCAGCTCAGTTCTATAAAAATATTTATTTTTAGTGTGTGTGTTACCTGGGTCTCTGTAACCTGCACCTCCTTGGGTCCGATGGGCCCGGTGGTGAGTGCGAGCGTGTACTTGCACTGCCGACACTTGCGGCCAGCCTGCACCTGCCACTGCGCCTGCGCACACATTATATCCATTCAAAACACTTGCTTGTAAAGTGTATCTAATTTCGCCGGTGATATAAAAAGCTCATAAAATGCGTGCGTTATGAACGCAAATAGTGAAGTTATATTCCATAACCTCACTATTAGCTATTTTTATAATTATAATCTCAGGACAATTCACACAGCGCCATCTAGACCCAAGTTAAGCCAGCTAAAGCTTGTTTTAATAATACCTACTAGATAACAAATACAAATACATATTTTTTCCGTAAATATATACATATTATACATAGAAAACACCCAGACCAATACAAACAATCAAACTCATGAATACAAATGTTTGTGCCATGCGAGGAATCGAACCTGCGACCATCAGAATAAGGCAGTGTGCTAAACCAATGATATATTATATACAAGTTATATTTGATAAATTGTTAATTTAACTAAACATTTTAAAGGAATAATGAAGTAAATACAGATAAATAGTGCTCTTTCCCTTTAAATATAATAATACAAAATATAAAATGACTTACAATTTAATTAGTTAACAACCGAACTTCTAAACTAACTACAAATATAGTGATTAATATTAATTTAACTTGATATGTATATTTTATCTAAGACTTGCATTGATTATGAGCTTCTTGGGATAAATCCAACAAACAATTGCAAAATCATTTTGAATAAAACTTAGTTGTTCACAAACAGTTTGACAGATGGCCGGTAAACTATTTGTAATGTCGATTTTTGCATGTAATACACCACTAAACTGTACACAAACAACAATCGACACTCATTACACTATTAGATCACTAATCACAATATTGAAATAATAATATTTATTTATTATCACGGCCAGCTTCAAACGACAACTGTCGTCAGTGTTGCCAGTCGAATAAAAAATTTTTTTTTTCTAAATAAATATATATTTATAAATATATTTCTCGTGTACTAATAGCCCCTATTATAAAAGAAATATGTAGGTCAACAGTTTCACAATTCCTGTCCTATGAATAAGTTATTTTTGATTGGATTCTCACCTGAACGTAGTCCGTGGTATTCCTGGCGGCGAGCAGTTCCACCGTGAACTTGGAATTGGTGAAGATCATTGTGAACATCTGGTCGATGTTGAAGGGGAACTCCTGCTGCATGATCACCTTACCCTCGTGGGATTCCGTACATTTCTCCGATTCTCCACTACTGCAAATGTGAAATACATTACCATATGAGCCCGGGCCTTTTGATGTTCCATGGAGAAGAACAGAGCTGGCCAAATAGGCTCCTATTTCTCTGGCATTGAGTCTACTCAACGCTGTAGTTAGTCGCTTTCCAGATCTGGACATATTTACTTGTAATTTGCTGGAGTTTCGTAGGATGGCAGTAGATTATATAGGTAGTATATTAACTTAAGATTAGATATTATTATTATTATTTTGTTCCCTTTTGTTTTCTTGTGTAATTAGTGTATATGTATGTAATTAGTGTTTATAATTGTGTGTATTAGTATATTATCTTCCTAAGTGTTCATATTGGGAGACTGTAAAGCTCATTTAGACGTAAATAAATAAATAATTGCACTAGCTGTGCCCGGGGTTTCATCCGCGTGAAATCCATAGCCAATATAAATATATAGTAAAGTTTCATTAAAATCCGTTCAGTAGTTTTTGCGTGAAAGCGTAACAAGCATCCCTACATTAACTTTTATAATATTTGTATGACTTATCTAACAATAAAGTATTAGAAACAAATACAAACAAACATACGTGTGGGGCTTGTCCGGCTCGCTGTCGCTGGTGTCCGACAGGTCGGTGGGGAGCGTCGGACGCTCGTCTCGGTACCGCGCAGACCCATTCGTTACTGAAAACAAAAAATAAAAAAAAATTTTTACTAAATCCAAAAAGTTTCTCTCATCATCATCTGCTTCTTCTTTATCCCATTTATTTGGAGTCGGCGTAATATGTTTTTCTCTTCCATTCATCTCTGTTCGCAGTCATCTCGTTATTTACTCCCTTTCTTACCATATCATCTTTCACACAGTCCATCCATCTCTTTTCGGCCTTTGTAATTACATACATAATATACAACGAAAATACCCAGACCGATACAAACGATCATACTCATGAATACAAATATTTGTACCATGTGAGGAATCGAACCCGCGACAATTGGAAGTAAGGCGATCTACTAAACCGCTAGATCACTGAGGCCGTTTAATAAATAAAGAATGCAATGATAAGTACCAGGTATTGCTACTTCAGCGATTTCGCACCCTTCCTCGATCTCCTCTGGCCACAGAGCGTGGTGGTCTACCACAACATACCCCCCCTCTTCTCTGATCTTAACACTTCTCATCATGAAGTAAGAAACCGTTATGCACATAAGTTACCACATGAAGGACAAGGGGGAAAGGGATGATCGTTAATACAATAGGGTAGCGAAAAAAATATAACACAAAAAAATTACGTTCATAAGCGGCTAAAATGAATAAATGATTTTATAGAATATATCACGTTACGTTGCGAGATACAAACTTGGTATTTAAAAAACTAATTTGTTAATAACTAACGGAAATATAAAACATTACTGGTTACAATTCAAGTTGGAAGACAACTGAAGTTTAATACAACGTTTGATTATTCTATACTATCTACAGGACTCTGATAACATTATACAAATAAATAAATATGTAAACAATATTAATACTATGATACATATAAATAAACTACTGTTCCGGCGACTTTGTGCGCGTGGAATTTAACTTTATTTTTCTAAAATAAAAGTAGCAGAAAGAACTAAAAATTATTTTGTTCGTCTCTCATAGGGGCTGAATTTATCAAAATCCTATTTAAGCGAGCGCCTTCATCATAGTAGCTCCAATCTTTAATTTCAGTTCAAATAGTCGAAAATCTAAGAAGATTTAATACAAACTTTCATCCCCTTAGTGGTGGAATTTATCAAAATCCTTTCTTAGGGAATGCCTAAGTTATAGTAGATTTATGCATGCAAAGTCTCAGCCCGATCGGTTTAAAATTAACAAAGTTTCATACAAACTTTCATCCCCTATTTTATCCCCTTGGGGGTAGAATTAATTTAAACCCTTTCTTGGCGGTTAACTACGTCAAAACATGAACCTGTATGCCAAATTTCAGCCCGATCCGTCCAGTGGTTTGGGCTGTGCGTTGATAGATCTCTACGTCAGTCAGTCACCTTTGAGGTATATATATTTAGATACTAGGTATATAAGTTGTTAAAAACTTGCATATGTATGCTTTCATATTAAAATATAATAAACATAGGTACTTGGTGGTCACCAAGATACAATTTATACCGTGCGAGGAATCGACCCTGCGATCATTGGCAGGAAATCGGTGTGCTAATCCGATAAACATGGCCGCCTAATAGATAAAATGCTCTATCTAATTTTATTGTTTGATTTTTATCAGTTTATTCTAAAATAAAATACAATCATTTAATTAATTAGTAAGTAATAAGTAATAACCTATACTAACAATACGTTTTTTTAAGGATGATAATGGAATGGTGGAACGCCTGCGCTAACGGTTTACGCTGACGGGACACCAGTGGAGGATAAGATGGCATGAGGTCAGGTCAGTTAGCCCATCGTGACAAATTCACCAAAAATTTATCACGATGGTTTGTAGGGGGAACCGCGTGGAGGTCAACCTGACATGGTACAGTACACAATACGTTATAGTCACAATATATTTCTGACCATGTATACAAAACGGTTCTACGAATGTACTGTTCATAATAATGTTCGTATTTCCACAGGGGCGGATCGTGAATTTGTGGGGCCCTGGGCTATGGGTATTCGTTTCTTATCCCTTTTATTTGTGGTTGCCGTAATATAATATGTTTTTCTCTTCCATTCATCTCTGTTCGCAGTCATCGCGTTATTTACTTCCTTTCTCACCATATCATCTTTCACACAGTCCATCCATCCCTTTTTCGGCCTTCCTTATAACCATCCACATTCATATGTAACACCATCCTTAGGATATGATCTTCATTCCTACGCATTACATTCCCATACCACGATAGACGATTACTCTTTAACCTTTCTGACACCGGCGCCACTTGTTTGAATCTCAGGAGCTATATAACATTACGCTACGACCAATAGGAGCGGAGCTGAATGAAAAATAAAGCAAACGATGGGGTCAGGTCGGACGCGGGTCAGCTAGTAATGGGATAAAGGCACTTCAATAATGATATAGTTGTTTCTGAGTACCGGACGCGCGTACAATAAACAATTCACTCTGGTACTGAGGGACTATTGTGCCGGTTTATCTCCGTTTAGCAGGGGCGGATCTACCTATGGGCTCTTTGGGCTGCAGCCCGGGGCCCCGAAATTACAAAGGACCTCCAGTCCCCACTGAAACGATATTTAGAATATAAGAAAATATCTAGAATATTAAAAAACCTATCACAAGGTTGGCAACACTGAGATCAATCAACCCATGCAAGTGCGCGTCTATCAAATGGATCGGGGAAATTCTGGTCGCTTGTTTTTGGTCGGTGTATTTTTTTAATTGATTAATATAATTAGAGAGCCACTAAGTAGATTTAGCCCAGGGCTCCACAAATCCACGATCCGCTCCTGTCGTTTAGGGCCGTTATCGTCTTACCATGGGAGGAGGACTCCCTACTAGAGCCCTACCGTTAGCGCTAACGGGTCCCACCTTCACACTAGTGATGTTAGGGAGCTCCTTAACCGTAACTATCGGATATCCGATATGGAAAAATATCCGTAACCGTAACCGAATCCGAAATAAATGTGTCGGATAATATCGGATTTGGGGAGGAGCCTAATTGAGACACATTATGTAACCATTTTATTAATTACTAGATGAAAACCCGGCTTCGCTCGGGTGAAATGTGGGTAGATATATCTGTAGTCATCGGTTCTCATGGAATATTAAAAGTAAGCAAGGCATAGATTTGTAAAGCTTCGTTCATTGTGTTTAAGAAATATAGTAAATAAAATGTGCAAAAGTTTTTATGCAAATAATTTTTATTTTTTGTAAAACTTTAAGTTGGGCTAAAAATAACTTGTATCCAGAGACGTAAAACAAATTAATAAAAAAAATTGCCAAATTTGTCTCGTAATCGGCCAATTTCAGGTTTAAAGAAAAAACACATACTGATTTATCATAAAAAAGTGTCAAAAACAATATTTTCGCGAAACGTCAATGACAGAAGAAAATTCTAGTGGAATGAAAAGATGGCGACTGCGGTTTGTTTGTCAGTGTCATTAGAATTTAACGAAATAGTCCATAATCAGAATTTTGCGGATACATGTTGTCGACTCGAAATTAGTATTTTTTTATGTTTTGTTATTCACATAAGGTTTCGTTCGAGTCTACCGTACCCCTTGACGAAATTATTAATATAGATTTGTCTTTTACTTTTAAATTCCTTAAAAAATAATATCCGTAACCGAAATTATCCGAAACTACCGGATAATCCGAAATAATTTCATATCCGCATCCGTATCCGGTATAATGATCATTCCTATATCCGAAACCTATCCTATCCGTATTCGAAATTTCATATCCATAACATCCATCCATCCTGCTTCACACGTCTTGCTAGTATGATCATGGTGGTTGAAACACTATCGAAATAGCGGTAACTTAATAAAAATAAATAAAACTTGCTAAGATCCTATGATTTCTAATTGTACATATAATATAAAACCTTGTATATACGTAAAATTTAAAACCGTATATAATACAGTGGACCCCCGGTAGACCGACAATCATTTTGCAATAGACAATGTCGGATTACGAGGGGGGCCGGATTAGACAGGGGCCGGATTACCGCGGGCTCCTGTATAGTGATAGCGCAAACCTGTCAATAAAATTAAAAAATAATTACCTAGTGGTGGCGAGGAGTCCCTGTTGTGTGCCGTGGGCGGGGGGCTGCGGTCGTCCGAGCCTCCCCCTCCGCCCCCGCCGTCACCCCCGCCGCTGGTGTCCATCACCAGTGATGTATCCACCAAGTCTACCTGGAATATTGACGTATTAATAAAAAAACCACTAGATGTAGGGCGTAGTGACCCATTAGATAGATAAATAATTTATTCATCGATAAAGTAATAAAGTACTAGTACTTGGTACTAAAGAATGAATGAAACATTAGAGGAAGTATGAAAGTGGTGCCGGTGTCGGAGAGGTTGAAGAGTAATCTTCTATCGTGGTATGGATATGTAATGCGTAGGAATGAGGATAATATTTTAAGGAAGCTGTTAACATATGAATGTGGATGATTATAAGGGCAGAGAAAGGCCGAAAAAGAGATGGATGGACTGTGTGAAAGATGATATGGTAAGAAAGGAAGTAAATAACGCGATGACTGCGAACAGGGATGAATGGAAGAGAAAAACATATTACGCCGACCACAAATAAATGGGATAAGGAAGAAGCGATGACTTGGTACTAAAGCAAGTAGTACTTTATCAATGAATAAAACAATACTGAGATTGCGTTTTTCTAAAAATTAAAGTAACTTTAATAATGATAACAATAAAAGTGCTCGTTATTTGCTCCACGTTAAAGAGGTGGGGGCAGTTATAGCTAGTATGGAGAACTAGTGGCATCTTTTGTAGCAATGAACCCTATTTTTTATTGTTTATTGGATGATAATGGAGTGATGCTCCCGCCTGCGCTAACGGTTTACCCTGGCGGGGCACCAGTGGAAAATGATGGGATAAACATGAAGTCAGATCAGTTGGCCCATCGTGATAAATTCTACGGGAATTTATCACGATGGTTTCCAGGGAACCACGTGGAGGGTAACCTGACATGGTACATTGCTAGCAATGGGATCATCAGCCCACATTACTAACAATTCTCTTCCCCCCCCAATGAACCCTATTAGGTAGACATCGACACGGTCCTCCCTGGAAGCATCGTTATTTATTGGTGAATTTGCCACGATGGCCTGACTAGTCTCAGTTCATTCTCATCTCGTACTCCTCCACTGGAGCTTCACCAGCATAAACCGTTAGCGCAGGCGTTTAAGCCATTCTTCTTCTTCTTTAGATACCATCTCCTACCAATGGTTGGAGATCTTTACTTTGTCCGCAGCGGTCCTGAAAAGGGACCTGGTGCTCAACTCAAAACACGGTATTAAGTTTTTTAACCACGAAGTACCGCCTGCCTTCGTCTTGGGCAACCCTGGATTTTTTTTTATATTATTAATTGCATTGCTATTCCATTATCATCCATAAAAAAGGTGAATTTGTTTCACCAGACATGCTATTTTGTTTACACTTTTTATGCTGACTTAAATATCACTTTTTAACTTATTTTGCTCTAACACATTATAATGATGCCAATAAAAATAATAATAAATAATTATTCGTATATTTAACGAAGTATTTTGATTTATTAAACTTAATTAACACTATTTTAATTATTAATTTGCTCTAACATATTATAATATATCACTATAACACAAGTTTCTAGTTCATTCTTCTTGTGATGAGTCTGCGTTCCGAATGAGTGATAGAATAAAAAAATGTGACTATTCAAAAGTGCTTATAATAAGTTTATTTGAATAAAGAATATAAATTAGTATATTTCACTTGGCATGCTGATTTATTTATTTATTATTATCACTATTTATGTTGACTTAATTATACTACTATTTTCATTACTAATTTGTTCTAATTCATTATAACGCTGATAATAAAACTATTAATAAATTCTTAGTGTATTTCACTTGGCATGCTGATTTATTTATTTATTATTATCACTATTTATGTTGACTTAATTATACTACTATTTTCATTATTAATTTGTTCTAATTCATTATAACGCTGATAATAAAACTATTAATAAATTCTTAGTGTATTTCACTTGGCATGCTGATTTAATTATCACTATCTGTATCACTATTTATGTTTATTTAATTATCACTATTATAATTATTAATTTGTTGTAACACATTATAATGTAGACAATAAAACTATTAATAAATTCTTAGGCACTTTCACTAGGCATGCTGATTTAATTATCACTCTCTTTATCATTATTTATGCTTGCTTAATTATCACTATTTTAATTACTAATTTGTTCTAATTCATTCTAACGCTGACAATAAAACTATTAATAAATTCTTAGTGTATTTCACTTGGCATGCTGATTTATTTATTTATTATTATCACTATTTATGTTGTCTTAATTATACTACTATTTTCATTATTAATTTGTTCTAATTCATTATAACGCTGACAATAAAACTAATAATAAATTCTTAGTGTATTTCACTTGGCATGCTGATTTGATTATCACTATCTTTATCATTATTTATGTTTATTTAATTATCACTATTTTAATTATTAATTTGTTGTAACACATTATAATGTAGACAATAAAACTATTAATAAATTCTTAGTGTATTTCACTTGGCATGCTGATTTAATTATCACTATCTTTATCATTATTTATGTTTACTTAATTATCACTATTTTAATTATTAACTTGTTCTAATTCATTATAACGCTGACAATAAAACTATTAATAAATTCTTAGTGTATTTCACTTGGCAAGCTGATTTAATTATCACTATCTTTATCATTATTTATGTTTATTTAATTATCACTATTTTAATTATTAATTTGTTGTAACACATTATAATGTAGACAATAAAACTATTAATAAATTCTTAGTGTATTTCACTGGGCATGCTGATTTGATTATCACTATCTTTATCATTATTTATGTTTATTTAATTATCACTATTTTAATTATTAATTTGTTGTAACACATTATAATGTAGACAATAAAACTATTAATAAATTCTTAGTGTATTTCACTTGGCATGCTGATTTAATTATCACTATTTATGTTCACTTAATTAACGCTTTTTTAATAATTATTTAATTTAAGAGATCTTTGGGGGAGGCCTATGTCCAGCAGTGGACGTCTTCCGGGCTGCGATGATGGTGATGGCGATTTAATTTAACTCATTATAATAATGACAATAAAAGTATTGTTTATTATAAGTTTAGTATGCATTATTATTACAGTTAATTGGGTTTTAACACGAATAATTTTATGGTAAACAGGGAATTTTTACGATATTTCACTAGGCATGCTGATTTCATTATCACTTTTTATGCTGACTCAATTATCACTTATCAAATTATTTAAGTTCAGGTTAGGTTTCAGGATAATTCATTTTGTTGAGACAATAAAACTCAACAAAATGAATTATACCTTCGCATTTAGTACACAAAATTAATAGTTATGTTAGTTTTAACACGAATAATTTTATGATAAATAAGGAATTGTTACTGTTACACTAGACATGCTGATTTCATTATCACTCTTCATGCTGACTTGTGAAACTATATTATATAGTTAATCAGGATAATCCATTTTGTTAATCTTTAGGAATATGTTAAATTTTCTACATTTGTTCTTTATGCGTTATACGGTATTTTTAAATATGGACCACAATACATATATCCACAAAAGTTTGGAACGATAATAATTGGAAATAACTAACTGTTTTCTTCGATTGAATTCGTCGGATCTTGACCATTTTGTATGTTAGTCGGTACTGACTGTGTGATCAGTATTTAGTACTTATCATTATCATACAGGTGTTTCTATCAGACCGTAATCTGCCGTATCAGTGATACGCTTCTGCCATACTGATACTCATTCGCAAATCGCATTTGACGGGTTAATAAATATCGCTGTTTTTGATGTTATCATTTACGACTTTTTTTAAATGACCTTCGTAGTGTAGCGGTTTATCACAGTCATTCCGATGGTCATGATTTCGATTCCGTCAGATACAAATATTTTGGTTTGAGGTATTCCAGGTTAACGTCGGTGGTGTGCGTTTTAGTACACTGGTTTACTTCTGATAGTCACGGGTTCAACACTTGTATAATACAAATATTTGTATAGGTGTGTTTGATTGCAGTCTGATTGATGTCTTCGATTGATTACGGTCTGGGTATTTAATATTATTAAATTATGTATACATTTTTAAATATACAGAGGACGAAACTAACCGTCACCTGATGTAAATAGATAAATAAAAGAAATTTGTTTAATTTTAAAATGAACACTGAATAGAAATATCAAGATAATATTAATACCGTTACTTAAAAATAATAAGTTATAAGGCCTAAAGTATTACAGGATTTTTGCAGTTATTAAGATAAGAGGCTGCGATTCTATACATATAAATAAAATTGGAGTGCCTATTTGTAATATTGAAATAACTGTTTTTTGCTACATGCATATGAATATAAATACGGTACATACACCAAAATAACATTTTTTACCATTTTTGTCTGACTTTGTGACTTGATTTTTGTCTTGCCAGAACAAGCAGACAGATCTGCTTGTTCCTTAATCTCTGGACCTATTTTGACGGAACTTTTTTTGGCAGGCATCTGATGTAAGGTATGGAAGGAGTAACTAAGGCTACTTTTATTTTAGAAAAATATTAATTGAACGCGGACGAAGTCGTGAGTACAGCTAGTCAATACATATTAATGATACTGTCTATCCGTTTCGCATATCATTATAATCTACTCGGTTTACGATAAAAAAAAGTCAGGACATGTGAACTGTACAAGACAATACAGTATGTATTGTCTTGTGTTTATCTACTGAAATAGGTAATAACTCAGGACAATCACCACAGCTCCATCTAGTCCCAAGCTAAACAGAGCTTGCGTTATGAGTACTAGACAACTGATACAAACAATATTAAAGAAATATATGGTGCAGTATTTCGAGGAAAATAATCTCTTCACTGACAAACAATATGGTTTTAGATCAGGAAGGTCGACAGGTATGGCAATTACTAACACCATGGAATTTATACTGGAATCTCTTGATAAATCTATGAAATGCGGTAGCATTTTTTGTGACCTCACTAAAGCCTTTGACTGTTTGAGACATGACATATTATTTGATAAATTAGATTACTATGGACTTAGACATAATGCTATTAAAATAATGAAATCATATTTAA